ATCAAACAACAATAAGAAATATGCGTGAAGATCCTGTTACTGTTTCACCATGTACGTATAGAATCATGACAAATCGGTCAGGTTTTAGGTGGAGTGGAAGGAAACTTGATACTGTAGACGATCTAGAGTACCTTTTTATCAAATCGATCGATGAGTTAAAAATGCTAATTTAAAATTAATTTTTGGAAGTAGAGTGCGTAAAAATTAAATCTAAAAAAGCTAGGATCAAGTTTATACTGTATATGAGCGAAATATCATCAGGATTTGCGAATGAACCAGCCAACCCATATCAATCATGAGATGATAGACTTGGAAATAATTTCGAGTTGCAATTGCTTATCTGTAAATAGAATTCAATTTTGTATCGAATATCTCAATTCTTCTTTGTGTATTTGTTTTTCTATGTTTTATCTAGTTTCAAATAGGAAACAAGAATGTAAATATGGTTCCAGTTGCCGTGAACAATCCGATCCAAGACATTGCGACCATTTTCACCATCCTACAAGAACATCATTATTTGTTCCATCGGCTACGGCTAGTAGTCACTTATCAAATATGAACTCAGATACTACACGTTCATCGCGTATTCATACAAATCATGGTGATAATGGCATGCAAAAAGCTTATAGTATTGGTGGTGCGATAGCTTTAGAAAGATTGAGCCAACAGGATCAAACAACAATAAAAAATATGCGTGAGGATGCTGTTATTGTCGTACCAGGCACCTATGACCATATTGATCAAGTATTGACGAAACTTAATTTAAAATTTACCACTGTTCAACAGCATGAATTAATGAATTATCCATTGAAAACTTATCAAACAGTATATATTAATTGTGCCTCCAACTTTCCTAGAGAAGCTGCTTATCGTTTACGAGAATTCGTTGAAAAGGGTCTTCATATAATAACAACCGATTGGGCATTAAGAAACGTTTTACAAGTAGCGTTTTCTGATTTCGTTACACATAATGGAAAATCTACACACGATGAAGTTGTTGGTATTGAAGTAGTAGATCCTAATCATGCATTTGTTAACGGTTTCATATTAGCAGCTACACATGCTGAACCACAATGGTGGCTTGAAACTGGATCACATCCGATTGAAATTGTTGATAAAAAACGAGTTAAAGTTCTTATTCGTTCACAGGCTTTATATGACAAATATCAATCTGATGCTGTTATTGTTACATTTGATTGTGGACAAGGTAATGTTACACATATGATTTCACATTTTTATTTACAACGTTCCGACACACCTAATGCTCGTCATAAGATGTCTGCTCAACAATATGCACAAGACATTAAAGCATCAGATAATATTACCAAACTAATTAGTAAAGATGGTCAAAATTTGAACTATGCTCAGATTCAATCATCAGCAACTTCAGCTCAATTTATTTATAATCTAGTTTCGAATCGTCTTAACTCTACAAATCAATCGACTTCATCAACACATAGTCGAAAAAATTTTCAATAATGTGTTTTTAAACATTTAATAATCATCGTAATTCAATTAAAAATTATTGTATTCAAAATATTAGCACTAAACAAAGAATTATTAATAAACTATCAAAAGAAAACTTTCATTCTCAGAATCGAGCGAATATATTTTTTGTGAATTTCATTTATTCATTTAAATAATTGTGTGCTTTTTAAATACGCCTTCATGCATATTTTGATCAAGAAATTAATAAAATCTTTCGAAACTAAAAAGTTTTTTTTTTTTTCATCTATAATAGTTCACTATCTATTACGCAATATTCAGAAGAAATCACAAGACTTTAAAATCATCGATGACTGGTAACAGTTTTATTTTCAAGATAGGCTTCACCGAACTACCTTCCAAGCTATCTGTAACTAGACTTTCTGTTTTCGACCCTTCGCGTACACTTTCGAAGCTTTTGCAGTGTACCTGGAAATTCGAAAATATCTGAATCTCAGATTGTTGTAGACTTGAGATACATGCTATGCAAGATGCATTGTTTTAATCAGACGCTGAGAATTAAGCATTTTCCTGGATTTTGTGTGTGAGTCCTCTCTTCACACGCATAAGCTCACTCCACATCCACATCCTACACAAACAGGGATAATCAAGATTTTCTGCCTGAAATGTTGTCGAAAGATCGATTACACAGTTCTTAGAACATTCTTCAATTGTTAGCGAAAACAAACAAGCTTTAGTTGAAATCATAGACTTAGAAAAATCTCCAGCTTTTTTTGTTTAGGCTTTGAAAGATGAATATTATGTTTCAACTTATTATTTGGACAGGGTGTGATGTGTGCGTGAGAATAACTTTGACATTCACACCCTTAAGGTGTTCTATCTCTTTTCTAGAAACTCTTAGCAACGGGAAAAAGGTGCTAAACGACATTTGCAACAAAATTTAGATTGTTCTAGAAAATTTTTCTACATGCCAGTCGCAAAGGAGCTGCGCTGCTAAGTTTTCAAAAATGTACATCAGCATTTAAGTACATCAGGTCATCATACTGTGGGTAAATTTTGATGTTTGTCTACTGATTCTCATATTTTACTTGTTACAACTTTTGGGGGAGATGCGTCAATAACGAATCATGTAGCTAACAGACAATCAATGATTGAACTCATACCATGATTGATGAGAACGTTTGTCTTTTATATAGGTTTTCTTAACCATGGTACTGTCGATGGTGTCGATGTACACATCGTTTCCTTATCTTTATTAAAGACATATCCTGCCAAAAATATACGTCTATCTCTATTGAATAATTCTATTATGAAACGATTAAAATTAGTGAAAACGTTGATTTTTCAGCTTCAGCAGTTGATGTCAGTATTTGCTTGCGCGTTCCTCCATTCTTCTTTATTGTCCAAATTTTTATACGATGCAAATGCTTTACCTCAGTTGGAGAATGTTCATATTTTTATGATAGATTTCCTATAGAACAGTGTGTGAAAAATGAAGTAAACGAACTCGTTTCTAATACATATTGCAAAAAAACAAGAGATATGTCACATCACGTTTAATGAACAGGGTGTGACTGATTTCGGCAACAATAATAATGAAGTAGATATCTAACTAACATCTTGTTCTTTACAATCCGTCAGAAAGTATCGGTAAAATCTTGTCTTCTGGATGCATATGAACTGTCAGTTTCTTTTTCGATGACGCAAAACGATAGTGTCCAATAAATTTAGATGCTTCAGTTGTTCTTTTTAGTTCAGTCTTGTAATATGTCAGTCTATATTAAACACAATATTTTCTGAATGTTCGAGCAATATATAGTCATTGACTTGGCGTACATTTGATTTTAACTCATTCAAAAAAGAAAAATTCACCAGATTTTCTTTCTCTGATGTTATCGATGGATGCGTCTAATGATGCGATAATGGTTATTTCTAAATATCTCTATATCTGTCTCGGGCTTTTTTTCGGTTCTTTCGGATCAATTGGTAATCTACTAACAATCTCAACATTTGTGTGCCTCAAAAAATATCGTTCTCTTCCAAGCTCTACATTTCTGGCCGGATCAGCATTTGGTGAACAGTTAGTGCTACTTTCATCTGCCTTCCCAGATTCACTTACTAATATGTTAGGCTACGATTTTTATGGTACATCTATAAATATATGTAAATCAACATCATTTTTATATTTTGCTGGTGGTGTAATAGCTCTTACTTGTATGTATTTGGCAGCGATTGATCGCTATTTGCAAACATGCCGATCAACTGCTCGACGAGAATGGATGACATTATATACAGCTCGATTACTAGTTTTTTCGGCTATTTTAATATCTTCTGGCATCAGTGTTCCTTTCGCTATCTACAGAAATGTTACAGCTAATTCTCTAATGTGTGAGTATGTCAATGCTATCTTTAAACGCATGGCATCTCTTATGTATGCAATCGTTGGTGTTCCGATGCCGATTATACTTTTGAGTGTTTTTGGTTGTCTTACCTGGCAGAATTTGAAAACATCAGGTCATCATCAACGTACACGTTTAGCTACAAGTCAATTCAATCACCAAGTAATTCGAATGATATTGATTCAAACAAGTACAGTGGTGTTTTCAGTATTACCAGCATCACTATTGCAAGCATATTTTTTGATCACAGGCAGGGGAAGTCAAGGAGTAACAGCTGTGGATAGATTTCTTCTTTGTATTACACAGCTGTTACTCTATGTACATTCATGTGCTTTGTTCTATGTCTATCTACTTGTATCACCAACTTTTCGACGTCGCGTAAAAATCATGCTACGTTTTAAACGATGTCGTTCGACACGTGTAGTTGCTTTTACAGAACAAAATAATGCAACTAGAATGCCAACAATCATATCATGATCGATCGCTACGATTATAATGCCGAATATGTACGTCCCATTGTTCTTATCACTTGTACTAACCGGACTCACCTTATTCATTTAATTCTGTTCAATTACAAATATTTTTGATTATATAAGTTAAGAAGTTGGTTTAAAATTGTCAATTTCTCGAATTTCAAATTTAAACATGGCGTTCTCGCTCTAATGGAATGATTCTAAGGCTTCGACGATCTCTCATTTTGTGACAAAAATGTCTCCTATTGTGTAACACTATAGAAGAAGCAATCCCATGTCTATTGTAGTTTTCATAACCAAAAATCTGAGCTAGACAAGCTATTTTAGGTACATCCAACAAATACAATTTTTTATAAAAATATGTTGTCTTGGGTCTGACATGCGGAATGAGGATATTTTACTTCAGTTTCGGATACAGTACAATTGAATGCATGTGTGTATGTGTATACACATAAACTATTAATAGTAAGAAAAAATAAAGAAATTTATAATAAAAACGCTAAAAAGCCGTCTGTTGTTTTATTTTTAGTTAGCACTGTATTCATGAAGTTTATTTTTACTATTTCCGATCACAATTTATCATCATTACTTTTTAGTCATGCTATTCATTCGAATCCGTGATTTAATACAAATGATAAGCAAGATACTGGCGGTTCGTTCAAATGAGACACTAATCATAAAATGCTCTTCTCATCACACTCCGTGTTTTCTTCAAGCAGACACAAGAGAACTAGAAAGTTGTCTCGAAAACTAGAACCAAAAATTTCGATGATATTTGCCATTTTTAATTTTCTCTTTTAGAATGAAATGATAAAAAGTAACTGCGACATTCATACATCGGATAGTAATGTTACTAACTTAGCTGCTTCTAAGAAAGTGGTGTATGAAAGGACACTTGTAAAGTATGGACAACTATACTGCTTGGAACTACCATTATAGGAGTCACATCTCATCAATATCATATCCTCAAAATAGCAATAAACATTGCATTGTACACTGTGAAAGCTGCACCGCCATACACACATGTTTTCTTAAGGTATCCTGGTATTTTCTTCAGCATTTTGAGAATGTGAATATCCGGAAAATAGGATGAACCTTACATCAACACCTACACCTACACCCCTATCGTTCACTTATTCGTGAAGATAGAATAGCAAAGAACACGAACATATACGGTTCACTTTCTCGGTTTCAGAAATAAATATAGTAGCATTATATAGAATTAAGATCAACAATCAAACAAATAAAAAAATCAGCTTTGCTGATCGAATTGAAGTTTGTCTTTGACTTTGTTACATGGTTAGATTAATCTGATTGATCGTTCTTGCGAAACTACTCTATAAAAAATTGACTTGATACAAAGTGAACGTGAAAATAGTCGAAGATAGTCTTGTTTAAAAAACTCAAACCAACAAACACTTCAACAATAAGAGAACGAGTAACAGCTGTAGTTGAAAATAATCATCGTCGTGCGATGATCAGTCGATGTATTCTTTTAGTTGATATTAGCTACGGATATGTTAGTCATTATGTATTGGAAAACTGTGAAGAACGTGAATAGTTAAATGAAATCAATCAATAGCACACATCAATATTCATGAGCTCATAGAGAAGAAAACCAAAATCAAACACTTGTTGATCGACGTAGCTCGCAATCAAAACCTTCATAGTAGTAAATAAGCTTTCAATATCAAACTTCCCTAGTATATATGATATTTATTTTCTCTTTTTCTTTTACTAGTTTACTGGCTCATTCAAGATCCTCATTATTTCCCAACATTTATGGTTGTTTTTTTTCTCTCTCTAGATGAATAAACAGAAATAGACAATGATCACTAAATATTTTTTTTATTTTAACAACAATATTATCTGTTGAATCAGTTAGTTTGATTGTTCAGCTAAATACAAGGTGAATGACAAACAAGTTCTAAACGATTTTGTGTAAGTCATTCAAAAATTCCATTATTTTAATTATGTAATTCAGTGGAGTTCTCGGATACTGTAGCTTTATGCGGTTCTTCTCTGATCGGCACGAATGTTGAAGCATTTGCCATGATAAAAACGTTGTCATTTTGTTTTACAAATCCACCAGTAGGAGATTTATTCGATGGGGATCGAGTGCTCATAGCTGACGATGGTCGATACTTGTTTGAGCTTTGATTTTGATAAAGAGAACCTTGGCATGATTGTCCGAGTTCATCTAATTTCTGCTTCCAGTTTTTTGTATATTGACGATCGAGTTTTTTCATATCACGACGTCGCTTATACGGCACACATATGAGCCAGATGATCAGACCGACATGGAAGAAAACATATCCGGACATGAGAACGAAGAAGACGTATCGATCAATTTGAACATAAATATTATCCGGAGGGAGAGAATTTGCTAACGATGACAATTTCAGATAAGTCACTGCGGCAATGATTGCGTGCCAAACACATAGAAGAACAAGTATAAAAATTGATATAATTCCATATTTGTCCAGGGTTGTCAAATAGGAAACTGTTGGCTACAAAGAACAAGAAAGTAATCGATTGTTTTTTTAGTTTGTTTTTATATTGATGTTACTGACTAGAGATCGATTCACTACCCAACGAAAAGTAATCGAAGTAAGAAGAAGTGTCGAAGTGATTTGGAGACGATTTTGAGGTAAACTAAAGCAATTGTACGTAATAGAATTAAGAAAATCCAAAAGAGAAAATGTCTTACTTTGGTGGAATAGCAAAAATGCAAAAAGCGCAGAGAGTAATAAGAAAAATCAGGCAAAATCCATTCCAATAGTAGTAACCAGGTTGACGAGCTAGAATATAGCAAAAGTTTTATGCTTTTGTCAATAGGAAAAGAAAAATAAACCTGCGCGACAAGTAACAGCAAGAACTGGATGGGTTTTGGGTTCGATGCCTGTTTCATGTTCGAACGAATATTCTTCATTTGTTTCGCGCGTTTCTGTAGTCACATGTTCATACAGTGACCATTCTTGTTGATCAAAGAATGCTTCACGATTGATAATCGAAAAGCGATCTTCATCTTGGACAAGCAGAACCGTATTCATATGATGATCACTAGTGATGGAAACTGTAAGATCTTGTACATCGACTGGAAACTTTAGAACAAAGTAAAAAACTCATTGTTGATTATTGTATATGCTTTTGTTCCGACCTACGTGATTCAATTCGAGTTTTTCCCAAAATGCACCTCGTGCTCGACGGTGTTCGCAAATCTCTAATTTGACCAAAGGTGCCGGAATTATTTCATCTAATTTAGGTGCAACTTTTGTCATGGTGAACCATTTTTCTGGTTCGCCTATTTTGAATGAAAAGTTACATGAATATATCATCCATAAGAATCAGTCATACCAATATGTGCAATAGCATTTTCAATCGATAATTCGGGTGTCCAATGGGTAATCGGAGAAAAATCGTTCAAACGAATAGTTGCCAATTCATTTATTAATTGTGTACGTTGCTGAGCAGTTAGATCAAGTGTATCCAAATCAATACGATCTATCCATCGGGCTTCAAAATAGATATCCGCTTGATATTTTTCATTGAGTGTATCGATTTCACCTATGAACAATCAATAAATATTAGGCAAGTAAAAACGGTTTTCTGAATTTGGTTTTACCGATACGAATGAAGATGAGACGAATGCGAACAATATGTCCATTGATATTATCTTCAATCGAATGCAATACGGAACTATTGAGAGCAACTGATGAACTTTTTCTTCGAGGGTAAACTAGATAAGGGTTCGAAGACACTACACTTGCTTTTTGGATATCATCAATGGACATAAGACGTCCTCTAGTATTCAAAAATATGTTCGTTGATGGTGGATGTTGTACTTGTCTCTTCACGTCAGTCGAGTTATTATTTTTATCTGTTTCTTTGACATTCGTTTGATTTATTGCTAAGGACATCGGTTGATCTATATTGTTAGAAACAAGAAAACAAGAAAACGTGTTATATAATGTTTGAAAGAAGTTAAGCAATATATGTGAGTGTCAGCGAACAGATGAGTTTAGAAAAAGAAACCATGATAGATGATTTTATAGCTTACTTGAGTACATATCTTTTCACGTTGTTGTCAAACATAAGACATTGAAATATGAGCCATTACTTCTTTTTGTTCGTCTTTTATGATATTGATACGCCTATAATAGATTAACACTCATAAAATACATCAACGCAAAATGTTCTCTAGTCAACAGATGACAAATAAATGCAGACAAAAATGATTGATGATTTTTTTTCTCATAAAAATTCTCCCATTTTCGAATTTGATATTTTTCTTTCTTGTAAACGAATAAATCAATTCCATCGGTTTTGTAAAGTTTCTCCATTAACTATTTTAATAACCATGGTAAAAGAGAAGAAATCTTCATGATTTGTCAGAAATGAAAAGCATTATTAATCGATATCATCGTTTGAATGCAAAATAACCACGATCTCTTGAATTAGATGCGTTCATATGTAATAAATCAATATTGATGAAGGTAGAATTTCATTCCATTGATAATTGACTATATTAATGCTATTTTTGTCTTTAGATATGAATTTCATAGGCAAACTTCTTTCAATGATGATTGAAGTTATCGGATATCGATTATTCGGATAAAATGAAAATACGACCCGACAATAATTAAAATACCACAAAAGGGATCATCGAGGACTAAATTTCGTCTTTTATTTCATTATGGCTCTTTCTAATTTTCAGCATGTCAAAGTCATTGTGTTGTCTATGAAGAATTAGTCGATTTTATGTAAAAGGCAATATTGAATTGATTTTTTAATGACATGTTTACAAATAAATACCGTTTATCATTTAATACTATCCAAAGATAAAGAATTTCAGATAAATCAGATCGAAGACCTGCTTCGATGATAAAGTTCTCTTGAAAATTAAAGATCAAATGAAGGATATAATCATTGTTGAATGCATAGAATTTATTTGAGAATATGAATGTATCAACCGAGTTATGATTGTTTTACTGAATTTTTGACTCAGCTTCAATCACATTCTGGAAAATGAAAAATCTGAAATTAGACGCAAAACTTTGACCACGTATACGTCGAGTCATCTGTAGAATATCTTGAAAGTGGCAGCTGGAAAGTCAGTTCTTTCAGTGAGATATCGAATTTGAAAAAAATTACTCGTTTCTTACAGACACGATACAAAAGTCGAGTTGACTTAAAAATTTAATTTATCGACAATAAATATTCTTTTCGACTGAAACTTTTAGATTGTCCTATGAATCATTAGACCTATTCATTGGCAAAATTCCATATTCCAAAAATCCATGGAGATTAACTCTTTTAAACTATTTTTCTAGTTTTATTGAGATCTCTTTTTGTGGGCTAAAAACAATTTTGCAAAAGCTATAATTTTTTCTTGTTTGTGCTGAGACTGTTCCTCAGAAGTTCAGATCTTCATCTTAAAATAACCGATGCTCTATGATAAATGCGGCTAGTTATATTTCATAACTTCCTCAACTAGGTTTTGTAAGAGAAATCCGTTTCCAGTCTTCACATATTCTGTGCTGAATTCTCTACAATCTCGTACAAGAATAGATAAAATTAAGACTTTATGAAGAAAAATAACGAGGGTCTAGTAAGATTCACCCAAATCAGCAGCTCTCTAAATGTTTCATCGGAAAATTTCAATATTCTTTTTCTATCATTGGGCAAATATTAAGACTGGTCGGAGATAGTATTTTCTACGATTTTTTCGAGAGCTGAGCATAAAATCTTTTTAGACTAAGCGCCAGTTTCTATTTCAAGACGTTATACCAAATTCATTGAAGAATCCTCGAAACACTGCATCGCAGTTTGGAACACAACTCATCAAAAGTTTGTTAAAAATATTAAAAAAATAAGAAGAAGGTTGTTCTTCTTTCATGTCTAGCACTGTTAACGGAAGCAATCAGGCAATCGTATTTTTTACGTACTTCCTTAGTATGAAGTAAATGAATTTCACAATGACAGCTCGATGACAGCGGAAGGAAATGTCTTATGAGCAAAAAAAAGGCAAATACAAAAGACAAGTACACCACTTTAGAAAAAGAATAAGTAGATGTTTAAAGCAATTTTATCTTTGCAAAAAAAATGTATTGCAATAAACAAGTCACTTACAGAACTGAAACTATTGCCATTATGCTTTATTAGGAGCTTTTCTTTTCAACTAGTTATCATATTATTCTTTTCGTAATTGCTTTTCAATGTCATTAACGATATCGATATTATTTTAATCAAAGAAAGAAGTACTAATTGATTTTTCAGGACAAGCAGAGAACAAGAAAATGATGCTTAAAATAATGACATCCTCATTTTAAAAAAATAGAAACTCGAGAGTGGTACTTTTGTGTTACAAAGAAAATCGATGAAGTTAGCCATATTGTTCAATGAGAGAGACAAGCCTAATTTATTTGATCAAAATACCAAGACTGTTGGCTGTGTCAAAGTAGCAGCATGACTAATTAATAACTGAACAAGAAGTCAGTAAGTTCCTACATAAAAAATAGCTTTAGCAAATTTCTGAGGAAGAATAATAGATGTGAAAAATTTCAAATCGAAAGTACTTTTCGAACGTTCAGAAATAGTTCTTTCTACTTAAGAAGATTATATCATGTCATTTTCATATCTAGAAGTTCCAATATTATTTCGGAGTGTTCTAAACTATGGTAATTGATTAGATTCAGAAAATATTGGCAGCGCATTGCGAGTTTTTCTTTACTCATTAAACTTCGTTGATAGATTTCTCTATTCCTGACCAAGGATTTTGACCATCTGAAATGAATTTTCAATGACCTAACAACAAGTAAAAACTGCGTTACCATTCTTAAAAAAAAATAGAAAAAAGTAGCTGCTTACCACTGTTTTTCAAACTGGTTTCGTCATACCTCATCATGAGATCATTTTTTGTTAATACTTGAATGATGCTGTTTTTATCATCGCAATCCGTCAATTTCTGATCGTTTATAGGATGTCCTTAGATGATCACATACAATTTAATTAGAACATCGTAACATATTGAAAATGTTGAACAAATATTGAGACATCGAATAGAGAAAGAGTCAAAGCTTACGAGACTTAAGTGAGATGAACAATATTAAAAAAAAAATTGTTGAATCTTAGTATGAAAGTCATCATTTTCGACGTTTTCACTTGCTGAACGAGATGGAAGTAGCTGGTTGTCATGTAATGTAAGGAGGCCATAAAAATCGAAAAACGGCACTAATGATTGCGTATTCTTATCTTTTTTACCAAGAGTGAATTGGTATGGATAAGGAGACACCATATATTAATAAAAACAGATAAAGCATAACTACAATCTCAATGAGGTATCTCATCGAAACATTCGAACGAGTAAGATTTAGTATTCTTGCATAAAAAAGTTAGAAATTTACATTTGAAACTTTCATATAATATCTCACTAAGTGCTTAACATATAGCGTTTATCTCGTGAAAAACCAGTGGAAAACGATGGGAGTGAAGAAAGAAGGTTCATAACAAAAACCATTTCCAATGAGAAATAAAAGTTGCTTATAAAAGAACATTGCGTTTCTTCTGTTTCGTTTGTTTCATGTGCATTTTAAATAGTCATTGTAATCATAAGCATGTCAGAGATGTCCATCGCGGCTGAAAATCTGCCGCTGCCGCGCCGCGGCCTTAGAAAAAAAAAGCTGCCGCACCGCTGCCGCGCCGCGACGGTTTATAAAAAAATGTTGCCGCGACGCTGCCGCACCGCGATGACTTATAAAAGAAACGCTGCCGCGCCGCTACCGCGATGAATTATAAAATAAACGTGCCGCCACCGCGCCGCTTCCGCGACGATTTTCAAAAAAGTGTTTCTAATTTCACTGCTGTGACTATATTTGACCAGAGATATGGGTACTAGTCCATCAGATTTATTCAATATTAGGGCGTTTCATTTGTAAATCGTGAAATTCTATTAAATTCATACAGTTTTTCAATGTCCTCCAAAAAAATCCTGCCGCTGCCGCGATGGTTTTTTAAAAAACCTGCCGCTACCGCGCCGCTGCCGCGATCACTTTTAAAAAAATCTGCCGCTACCGCGCCGCTGCCGCGGTGATTTTTTTTAAAAACCTGCCGCTGCCGCGCCGCCACCGCCACCGCGGCAGCGGCAGCGGCAGCGCCGCGATGGACATCTCTGAAGCATGTTTGAATCGTTAGCGATGGTTTAAAAAAAGAAAAACACAGCAAATGATGTCGGATAAGTTGGACCCGTATGCCATTGGGCATGAAGCTGATCACAAATGTTCATGGTTCAATTTTTTCGAGTTTTTGACTTCTCACTTCGATCCTTCACATAGTTGGCCAGGCTGATATCTGACAGTATTTTTCGTGAACAACCGCCAAATGGACGGAGTGTACATGGCTTCCACTAGTAGTGGCAGAAGTTCGATACATCATAGGAGTGTCATTCTTTTTAAATTCAAGCTTCTTTTTCCAAACAAAATAAAAAGCCGTTGTTTTTATTGCAACAAAAAATTAAGAGTTCAAACTCTAATGCGTTGTCAATAATTGAAGCAGAAGGTTTCAAAATTTTGCAAGTTTTATGAGTTTCAACCAATTTTAATCTACTTTTTACTATGCTCTGACAAATTCAGCGAATACATCTATCTCTAAAAGTAAATAGATTGTAACACTTCTAAGTTTATCGCCTTCATACAAATTATCACTAGCTAATGCAACATATCATCATTTTTTTTATCTTGTTGGTAGTTATTTTAGCAATGAAAAAAAAAGAAAATTTCCATTTGAAGTTGTCACTGTTATTGTTTATTTCATCATCAGTGAATTTTTTTCATTGCTTTGTTTATTTTGAGGATATGGTATTTGTTACTTAAGTTTCCACTCACGCTTTTACATGATATTAACTTATATATGATCATATCCA